GTTAGTGATAATAGTGGTTTGGAATTCTTTGTTTTCTTTTTGCATCTGTACAGCAAACAAGTTTCAAAAGGCTTTATCGTCAGCCCTATAACGACGACATTATATTATTCTCTCACACACACACCCTTCATTTGTGGGTTAATTAGGCATTCATTGTGGGTTAATTAGGCATTCATCTGTACTCGCAACACACGCATACAAACAGGGAATCCAATCGATATTGGCTCGAATCTCTAATTTGATGCCCGAAAATATCGAGTTCGGTCTCCGGGTTCGAGTAGATAGGAGGTCCTGACTGTCTGGGGGGGGGGGGGGGGTGGACCCTCTACTCAACCCATTCAGAACAATGAATGAGTCAGACTCAATTTAGTTTGAAACATTTTGTTCGATAATTTCTCCAGCCCAGGGGCGGTTTAAGCTTGAGCAGGGGCCCCGGCTGAAAACATTTTGGGTATGTGACGCGGAATCATTCCGCAAATCCAAGAGTTCATCTTGTGGTTCATCTGGAATACTGGCTACATCAAGGAAAGCAGAGAATGGTTAACGTGTCAATGATGTTTCTTCTTCTTTCAGTTATGGGAAATAACGCTGCAGTTCGTTTTTAAGAGGTTCGAGAAGCCCAGAATCCTCTTTCAAATGTTTATTTATCTCACAATCAGATTCATCTACCACACTGTGGAGTTTCTAAACATGGCTATGTTTCCAAGGTTATTTTTTTCCGCCGATTTTGCAGCTTTGATAAAAAAAAATTCCCCGAGATTATCATGAAAAGAGTTAACATTCTTTCATTTTCCCAGAAGCTTCAAGTTAAGCATATGTTGATGTTCGAATATATCTGCTAGGGATGATACTTTCTCCAACCATTCTTTGTTGTTAAAGTATATCAAAGAGTCTTGTTTCCCTTGCACTTCAAAGAACATCTTTATTTCATCTTTCAATTAAAAAAACACGATTCACAACATTTCCTTTTGACAGCCAGAGTACTGTAGTGTAGAAAACCAGAACCTCGTGATCTTTATTCATGTCTGCACACTTTTTTAAACAGACTGGTGTTCAGGGCTCCAGATTTAATATCATTTTATTAGCAATGGAGTCGGAAGAGTCTTGCTGGCGAGGGCATACCGGTGAATCATGCAGTGGATTCCCATTGGTTAGGGAGCTAAATCTTTTACTGTTTTCTGAATGCCTTATTTTGACCCAAACATAGATGACGCACCATCCGTAAAAGCACCACAACCGTTTTCCCATTTTAATACTCCAGTTTAAAAAAAAACGTATTTCTTTTCTCCATATCTTCACAAAATAGCAACTCTTCTTTGCTGTTATTGGAATGAATATATTTCACAAAGACAAGCAACTGCGAATTTGAACTAACGTCTGTTGATTTATCAACTTGAAAAGCAAACAATTGTGAAAGCTTAATTTCATTCAAAATTTGTTATTTGACCTATACGGACATGTTTGCTATAAGGCGCTGAATAGTATTATTATTGTGTTTGTGGATGTGTTTGTAGATGTGTTTGTGGATGTGTTTGTGGATGTGTTTGTGGATGTGTTTGTGGATGTGTTTGTGGATGTGTTTGTGGATGTGTTTGTGGATGTGTTTGTCGATGTGTTTGTGATTGTGTTTGTGAAATTGATAAAAGTTCTTCTAACATTATGTCGGAGGACTGGACTAAGCGAAGATAATCAAAGAAAGACAGCACACACACACACACGCGCACACACACATTTGTGTATCATGTTGCCCTCTCCACTACAAGATCATGTTGCTCTCTCCACTTCAAGATCATGTTGCTCTCTCCACTACAAGATCATGTTGCCCTCTCCACTTCAAGATCATGTTGCCCTCTCCACTACAAGATCATGTTGCCCATTACAAGATCATGTTTCCCTCTCCACTACAATATCATGTTGCTCTCTCCACTACAAGATCATGTTGCCCTCTCCACTACAAGATCATGTTGCTCTCTCCACTACAAGATCACGTTGCCCATTACAAGATCATGTTTCCCTCTCCACTACAATATCATGTTGCTCTCTCCACTACAAGATCATGTTGCCCTCTCCACTACAAGATCATGTTGCTCTCTCCACTACAAGATCATGTTGCCCTCTCCACTACAAGATCATGTTGCTCTCTCCACTACAAGATCACGTTGCCCACTCCACTACAAGATCATGTTGCCCTCTCCACTACAAGATCATGTTGCCCTCTCCACTACAAGATCATGTTGTCCTCTCCACTACAAGATCATGTTGTCCTCGCCACTACAAGATCATGTTGCCCACTACAAGATCATGTTGCCCACTACAAGATCATGTTGCCCACTACAAGATCATTTTGCCCTCTCCGCTACAAGATCATGTTGTCCTCTCCACTACAAGATCATGTTGCCCACTACAAGATCATGTTGCCCACTACAAGATCATTTTGCCCTCTCCACTACAAGATCATGTTGCCCACTACAAGATCATGTTGCCCTCTCCACTACAAGATCATGTTGCCCTCTTCACTACAAGATCATGTTGCCCTCTCCACTACAAGATCATGTTGCCCTCTCCACTACAAGATCATTTTGCCCCTTTGTCACACGATCAGATCTGGAACATCTGACGTAAATGTTGTAAACGTTGTAAATGTAAATGATGTAAATGTTGTACATGTTGTACATGTAAATGTTGTACATGTAAATGTTGTACATGTAAATGTTGTACATGTAAATGTTGTACATGTTGTACATGTAAATGTACATGTAAATGTTGTAAATGTTGTACATGTAAATATTGTAAATGTTGTACATGTAAATGTTGTAAATGTTGTACATTTAAATGTTGCAAATGTTTTAGATTTTGTACATGTAAATGTTGTAAACGTTGTAAATGTAAATTTTGTATATGTAAATGTTGTAAATGTTGTACATGTAAATGTTGTACATGTAAATGTTGTACATGTAAATGTTGTACATGTAAATGTTGTAAATGTTGTACATGTAAATGTTGTAAATGTTGTACATGTAAATGTTGTAAATGTTATAAATGTAAATGTTGCAAATATTTTAGATTTTGTACATGTAAATGTTGTAAACGTTGTAAATGTAAATGTTGTAAATGTAAATGGTGTAAATGGTGTACATGTAAACGTTGTAAATGTAAATGGTGTAAATGTTATACATGTAACTGTTGTAAATGTTGTACATGTAAATGTTACAAATGTTGTAAATGTTGTACATGATGTAAATTGCGTACATGTTGTACATGTATATATGCGTGTTGTAAAAGTTTTACATACATACACATAAATAGATGGGATCCGAAAAGATTTAGTTAAGGTACCACTTCCTGGATCCACCACTGAGCATGCGCGTGACCTTTATACTTTTGAAAAGCGCAGTCTGTTTACAGATTTTTAGGAAAGTTTTAATTTGATTTTCAAAAAATCGGTTAGAAAATAGACACACCGGAAACAGGAGCGGAAGGAACCAAAAATAGTCTCCAGGTAGGCTACAATACCGGAAGTGATGAAATTCCTGGCACATCTGCTCTGCCCAGCTCTGCCCCGCTTAGTTGAACGAACTTGACAAGAGCAGACGAGGTACATCGTTTGCTGCACTGACCTTCATATTAATGACCTTCATAATGACCTTCATATTAATGACCTTCAAAATTACCTTCATATTAATGCCCTTCATAATGACCTTCATATTAATGACCTTCATAATGACCTTCATATTAATGACCTTCATAATGACCTTCATAATGTCCATCATGACGCCCTTCATAATGACCTTCATGATGACCTTCATGATGACCTTCATGATGACCTTCATAATGACCTTGCTGGCCTAGCTGACAACTGCTATGACCAGGGGGGGGGGGAGTGTGTTTATTTTTTGTGATTGGCTTTACTTCTGCTCCCATTTTTTGGCGGGAACGGTCACCACGTGACCAGCCAACTCACGAACGTCACACGTCAAAAAATGTTTACAGTAAGTTCTGCTGAACAAATGTTTACAGTAAGTTCTGCTGAACAAATGTTTACAGTAAGTTCTACCAAACACATGTTTACAGTAAGTTCTACCAATCAAATGTTTACAGTAAGTTCTGAACAAATGTTTACAGTAAGTTCTCCCAATCAAATGTTTACAGTAAGTTCTGAACAAATGTTTACAGTAAGTTCTACCAATCAAATGTTTACAGTAAGTTCTACCAAACACATGTTTACAGTAAGTTCTGAACAAATGTTTACAGTAAGTTCTACCAATCAAATGTTTACAGTAAGTTCTACCAAACACATGTTTACAGTAAGTTCTGAACAAATGTTTACAGTAAGTTCTGAACAAATGTTTACAGTAAGTTCTACCAATCAAATGTTTACAGTAAGTTCTACCAAACACATGTTTACAGTAAGTTCTGAACAAATGTTTACAGTAAGTTCTACCAATCAAATGTTTACAGTAAGTTCTACCAAACACATGTTTACAGTAAGTTCTGAACAAATGTTTACAGTAAGTTCTGCTGAACAAATGTTTACAGTAAGTTCTACCAATCAAATGTTTACAGTAAGTTCTACCAAACACATGTTTACAGTAAGTTCTGAACAAATGTTTACAGTAAGTTCTGAACAAATGTTTACAGTAAGTTCTGCTGAACAAATGTTTACAGTAAGTTCTACCAATCAAATGTTTACAGTAAGTTCTGAACAAATGTTTACAGTAAGTTCTACCAATCAAATGTTTACAGTAAGTTCTACCAAACACATGTTTACAGTAAGTTCTGAACAAATGTTTACAGTAAGTTCTACCAATCAAATGTTTACAGTAAGTTCTACCAATCAAATGTTTACAGTAAGTTCTGCTATTTCCGGTAGAGTGCCCTATGAACTATTTCTGTCCTCCCACCCACGTCTTTTGGCATGCCATTCCCGACCCCCAACTCTGCAGCCCCCCCCCCCCCCCCCCAACTCTGGTATGCCATTGACTGCCCGCGGGGCGGGTATTTAAACTAAGAGGAGGTGAGCTGTCGTCAGATCGGACTACCTCTCGTCTGCTTCACAGAGCTGGGTCACACACGCTGACACAAGGGTAAATCTGCTCTAGTCTAGTTTTGTGTACATTCATTTGGGTCTAATTTTACACGTAGGTAAATATAACTTGCTTTTGTGTTTGTTCATTAAGTGCAGATAAAAATAGTTTTAATTTTCTCTCTACGCATATATATATATATATATATATATATATATATATATATATATATATATATATATGATTTGTGTGTATGTGGAGTCCAATCTAAAGCCACGGTTTTTCTGCTGACAATTTTTGAGACGAGCGACAAAAAAGTCGCCGAAAAATGACAAAAGTGTAGAAATATTTCCATGTAGATCTATAGGTTGAGAATTGTAAAATATTACAACTAGAGATGTATGTGTTTCTCGTAACATATTTATAAGCTTGAAAGGCATTGCTGTTTACAATAATAATACAATTTTATTGTTCTCAATAAGTCAAACAACTATATAAACATACAAAATTGTTTACATATTTATTTGAATATCGAGTAGACATGAGAATTGTAAACGCAATGTGGTCCCATCATTTTGTTGACTGCTTGCCGTCAGTCTTTCAATGGTGTCTTGTCTGTCTACATTTATAGTGTTGACGTTTTGCGACGGCCGTTGTACCGTGTCGGCCCTTGGTCAAGATCCCATGTTTTGATGACTTGTGTTTCGTTATTTAAAGAGCGAGGTCATGTAGGCTGTAAATGTGGAAAATAAGGGCGGTAAACCTGGTTAAACTTCTTCCTCGTTCTTAAATTTTGTGTCCAACCAAGAACAAACTACAAGTTGCTTGACTCTGGAGTTGTCTCTCCTAGAAGAGTGGCTGTCCCCAGCTAACGAGCCTCATCTGCCCGAGGGTTCGAACTCGAGACTTTTCAGTTTAGCAGTTTTACCGACTCGAGCACGCTGATCCCCCCCCCCCCTCCCCCCCCCCCCCCCCGTCTGTTGTGACTTTACGCTCAATATCTATTTTTAGCTCGTTTTTGAAAAGACGACGATTGGAACATTCTAGAAGAAAATGCAACTAATTATCACTAACACATCAGATATCGACACAACAAATTATCACTAATACAAAAATCTTATGTTAACTACAAACTTTTATGCATACAACAACCACTCCAGCGGCTATTGAATTATATCGGCCATTGAAACCTGCCGGCCATTTAATTCTGTCGGCCATTTAATTGTGTCGGCCATTGAATTATACCTTACACTTAGCCGGCGACAAACTGACTCTCCTCTTCATCCCCTCCCACTGTCCCTTGGCACTTGAAGAAAAGTGTCTACTAGAGATGAATCACTTGATCCTAACCCTCGCAGTGAGCGGCCTGGGATGTCCCACTTAGCACGACGTCGACCTGTGAGCAGGGATGGTCCGTTGGTCTAGATGGCGCGGTGTTGTCTTATCCGCTGACCCCTCCTTTTTTTCTCCGCTCTATTGGATTGTGTTCAGTTTTATTTCTATTCCCAGGAGAAAGTCAAGATTGATTTCAACCCCCAGGAGAAACTGAAGATGTTTTACCAAGTCCTGTTGACGGCTCTGACGGTTCAATGTCTACACGTGTCTTCACAGGTAGGTGGACAACGTCTTGTTCATGTCGCATGGATCGCTTCTTTAATACATAACATAATGACCCACATAATGACCCACATAATGACCCACGTGACCCACGCTTTCTTGCTAGTTAGTGCATGATTATATTTCAAGAAAATCATTTATTTCGTGTGCCGCCACGATACTACAAAAATTGGGCATTGCAAAGTCAGTTTTAACACTGAAATTGAGTAGTTCCAGGGTTGATTAAGTACAAAACGTGAGTGTGGAAACTCAAAAAAAGAAAAGTTTGGGGCAAGGTGTTTGAATAATTAATCGTTGTCAAAGAAGGTGTTTAATAAAATAAAATAAAAAGTCACGTGAATTATGTGATATGGTATCGAGTAATACCCCGAGTGTTGTTCTTTCACTAAACTCCGATCTAATTAAAACTTCGCCATCATGTAATTTTATAGCCAACTACTTCACTGATTCAGGTTATAAAATTGTGACATCATTTTTACTTTCTCGTATATACGACGTATAGAGAAAATATTGTAATCGTGCAAAAATCATAATTTTGCAATCTTGTCCGTATGTCTGAGTGTGTGTGTGTGTGTGTGTGTGTGTGTGTGTCTGTGTGTAAACACGATTACTTGAGTACCGTTACAGCTAGGTTGATGAAATTTCATATATAAGTATTTTATCAAAATCGTAGATTCGTATCAACTTTTGAGCGGTTTCCGATAACCGGAAGTGGTACTTTTTCTACTTTGAATTTTTCAAAAGCCTATAACTTGAGTACTATTTCAGATAGATAAATGAAATTTCACATGTAAGTAAAAGATCTAATTCTCTACCTTCTGTCGAATTTTGAGTAATTTCCGGAAGTACTAATTTACGCTATTTCCGATTCCTCAAAAAAAAAAACGCACGTAAATTTATAAAGTACTAATAATATCCCGCACTATTATGTATATTTTATTAGGCATTCACTTGGTGTACAATTCTTTTTTTTTTTACAAGATTCCATTCTATTATAAAACGTTTAAGTAATTAAAAATGGATTACAAATATTGTCTATGTCCTCAGTTGCCATCCCCCGTAGTTTTATATTAGAATATCCGAGAAAGTTTAGGGGAGATCACTCCCGGTTTATTTTAAAAATCCTTCCGTTGTCCCCCCTCCACCCCGTGTTCAAGTTGGTCGTCATTAAACATGGTCGATGCTTGTGATTGTGTGTATGCGGGGGGGGGGGGGGGGGGGGGGAGGGGAGCGCCATTGCAGCGCCACAAAATTATATATATATGTATATGTATATGTATATATATACACACATATATATATGTATATGTATATATATGTATATATATATATATATATATATATATATATATATATATATATATATATATATATATATATATATATATATATATATATATATATATATATATATATATATATATATATTAGCGTACCCGTCCCCCGCGCGTTGCCGCGGGGATAGAATAAAGTCTGACGAAATATATTAGAAGGATATCACCAATGCTTTACCAATCATATGTTCTTAGACGCATCACCTTGTTTTCTAAAACTGTGTTATTTAAATGTCAACATTGCCTGCGTTTGGATAATAATTATCGGGACACGGGTTTTCCTACACTACCGCATGAAAATCTTGAGTGTATATTAATCACTCACCGAAATAATTAGGTAGAACACACTTCAGTGACCACCCATATGTCAGGGACGTAGAGGGGCGCTCTCAGGAGCCCCCCCCCCCCCCCCACCCCCCAATTACACTACCGCAGAGGCGCAGCGTAAGGCCCCTGGCTCCTTAAAACTAACAGGCGCCATCGTGCTCATAGGATAACCCAGCGTGCCAAATAGCATACAATGATGCAGATTTCGTCATTCGCTAAAGTGACCTAATAATAATTTTCGTCTAATAATAGATGCTTATTGCATCATTCGCAAAGTGACGAAACTCTACAGTAGGTTCCTCATATTCAAACAGTTATTTTTTCATCTTTCGCAAGGTGACGAAACTGTACAGGATTTCCTCGCGTTACAAAGTTATTTTTAGAAGCCTGTTGTAGTTTTACCGCTGAATATACTAGTACCCCTTACTACTCGCTATACTGGACGCTCGATTAACGGATGCCAAGTGCCAACTTAGTCGCTCTAAAACTCTGGGCACCAAACCGTGTATTGACGAAAGTTGTACCCTATATGGCGCCGCCCGTAAGAAACTTTAGTTTTCTTTTTCGCAGAAATATTCTCGGGAGTATTCTCATCTACTTCCTAAAGTTTCATGGTACTCGGATGAACCGCATCCGAGTTTTATTTTTTATATACTGTATATAGAGAAACATAATCGCTCCCCCCCCGGTGGTGCGCCGCCCTTGCAATATTAAACAATATTTTTTACAATACCCTACCATTGAGTGATCTAATCATCTCCCCAAAGTTTCTTGGTACACAGATGAACGGTGTGAAAACGAAAAAAAAAACGAAATTTTATAAACCGTATATAGAGAAAAATCGCAGCCGCCCGTGGCGCCGCCCTTGCGAAATTAATAAAGGTTTTTTTTACAGAACCCTTCCCTGAATTGTTCTAATAAACTCCCCCAAAGTCTCATGGCTATCGGATAACGGTGTCACACCAAAATCGACTTATTTTATAAATCGTATATAGAGAAAAATCGCACACTCCCGTGGCGCCGCCCTTGCGAAATTATAAATTATTGTTTACAGAACCCTTCCCTAGAGTTTTATAATGAACTCCCCAAAGTCTCATGCCTATCGGATAAACGGTGTCACTGCAATTCACTTTTATTCTTTTTATATACCGTAAATAGAGAAAAATCGGACCCTCACTTGGCGCCGCCCTTGCGAAATTAAAATTTTTTTTTTTTACAGAACCCTTCCCTAGAGTGGTATAATGAATTCCCCAAAGTCTCATGGCTATCGGATTAACGATGCCAAACCAAAATCGACTTTTATTTTTATATACCGTATATAGAAAAAAAAATCGCGTCGTGTCGGGGCACCACCCCTGCGAATTTGAAATATTTTTTTTCGCAGAAATCTCCCCATGAATATTCTCAACAACTTCCTAAAGTTTCATGGCAGATCGTGTGTCAGAACGGTGTCACGGCAATTCACTTTTATTATTTTTATATACTGTACATAGAGAAAAATCGCACCCTCCCGTGGCGCCGCCCTTGCGAAAATAAAAATGATTTTTGTACAGAACCCTTCCCTAGAGTGTTCTAATCAACTACCCAAACTTTCATGCCTATCGGATAAACAGTGTGAAATCCAAATAGACTTTTATTTTTATATACCGTAAATGGAGAAAAATCGGACCCTCCACTGGCGCCGCCCTTGCGAAAGTAAAAATTATTTTTTTACAGAACCCTTCCCTAGAGTGGTATAATGAACTCCCCAAAGTCTCATGGCTATCGGATGAACAGTGGGAAATCAAAATAGACTTTTATTTTTATATACCGTATATAGAGAAAAACAAATCGCGCCCTGCCGGGGCGCCACCCCTGCGAATTTGAAATTATTTTTTTCGCAGAAACCTCCCCAGGAATATTCTCAACAACTTCCCAAAGTTTCACGGCGATGTGATGAGAGGTGTAGTAATGCATAAAGGACACATACACACACACACACACACAGACATACATTGCTTTTTATATATATATATATATATATATATATATATATATATATATATATATATGTTTATATATATATATATGTTTATATATGTTTATATATATATATATATTTATATATGTTTATATATATATATGTATATGTATATATATACACACATATATATATGTATATGTACATATATATATATATATATATATATATATGTTTATATATGTTTATATATATATATATGTTTATATATGTTTATATATATGTTTATATATGTTTATATATGTTTATATATATATATATATATATATATGTATATGTTTATATATATATGTATATGTTTATATGTATATATATATATATATATATATATATATATATATATATATATATATATATATATATATATATATATATATATATATATATATGTAACGAGACTATTTGCCTGTAGTGCCAAATGTTAACGAGTTCTGCTCGACAACGCCAAATGTTACCGAGTCTAACCACTCATTCTAGACAACATCGACCACAGTATAGATACTCGAAGATGCAGGTTCGCTATTGATCCTTTTATTACATGAATCAAAGAAATGCTTCACAATAATATAATGAATCAAAAGGAATGCTTCACAATAATAGTCTGAATCAACTGACCCCCAACAGTCCTCACTAGTCTTCACATAACTGAATGCACATGTCTATCGTCCTTCTTAACACAATACGGCTAACCCGTTCAATAACCAACTTGATACTGCCACACTGACTGACTGATCGAGAGAGCGAGCCACACCGACTGACTGATCGAGAGAGAGCCACACACCGACACAGAGCTCAGCCGTCGCCTTCCTATATATCCCCTTCGTATTCGTAATCGTATCCGGTTCTATCATAATCGTAATCGTAATCGATTCTAATCGTTGCATCAGAATGTTAATTACGCCGCTTCTGTCGTACAGTCCGATTTAATAAGCCATCTGCATCCTGTCACATCAAAGTTGACAGACCGTATTGCGTTCTTATCGTATCGCTTCCCGAGATACTACGCCTTGGCTTTCTGATCGTTATCAGCCAACACCTGCGTTATTACATCAGTCGTGTCAAAGTTGACAGCGCTGTACTGCGTTCTTATTTCTCTGGTAACTTCCCCTAGTTACATCCACCCCTGCCTTTTTTTGTGTGTTATCAACCACAAACAACGCTTGGCAGGTGCAGTCCTTCAAAGTCAATCGCACCACCGTAAAAAAAAATTTATTGTTCCCCTCACTGTCAATGTCGTCACATTCGTATAAGATTGACCGTTATCCCTATTTCACATATCAAATGTGTCTACATCATCTTCCTCAGACACAAAA